TGCCTTTCATGTAGGTAGGATTACAGGCATGAGGCACCATGCTTGGATAATTTTTTTCAAATGGCTTTATTGAGATGTAATTTACATAAGTTCAGCTTTTCAAGGCTTTCAATTTAGTGGAGGGGGCTGCATGCATACGCATGATTGGAGTACAAGTACCAGCTAATTTTAGGACATTTTCATTAAGGAAGAATCTTCATACCATTAGCAACCATTCCCCATTCCCTATTCTCTACAGTTCTTAGCAACCATTGGTTTCCTTTCTCCCATTGTGGGCTTGTCTACTTGTCTACTTTGAATGAATGTGGTCATACAACATGCAGCTTTAAAGCTTATCCATGTGATAGCCTGTTATCAGTATTGCATTACCTTCTTATTGCCGAGTAATAGTCCATCTATCAGTTGAAGGATATTTGCATTGTTTCCACTATTTGGCTGTCAAAGATTCATGCACAAGATTTGGTGTGAGCACGTCTTACATTCCCTTTTAACACACAGATGTGGGATTGCTGAATCCTATGGTAACTCTATCTTTAATATGTTGGGGAACTGCCAGGCTGTTTCCTCAGGTTCCTGTACAACTATACAATCTCACCAACTGTGCATGAGGGTTTCTGCTTCACTCAATCCTCAGTAATATTTACTACTGTCTATCTTTTTTTATGTTCAAATACCCACATTGTGTGTATTGCTGATGCATTGTGGGTTGATTTGAACTCCTTTTCTCCTCCCTCCCTGCTTTTCAGTGTTTGGGATGGAACCCGCACCCTGGTGCATATAATCACGTACTTCAGCTGCCCTTCAGCTGCTTCCTTGACTTGATGATCTTAATGACTAATCATGTTGACCATCTTCTCATGAGCTTGGTTATTTTTCATATGTCTTTTCTTGGAAAATGTTACTCGGTCCATGTTATGCTGTTATATCCAAGTTGTGGGGGATTTTTTGTTTGTTTTTGTAGTACTGAGGTTTGAACTCAGGACCAGGCAAGTGCTCTACCACTAGAACTCACAAAATAGGCTGTCCTGTTTCTTAGTCCCTCCTTGGACCAGAGCTCAGCACAACTCAGTACACAGCCTATGACAAGACCCCTCCCCACCTTTGCCTCCCCCACCCTCACCCCTCCCTCTGAATTCCAATTGGCATCTCAGAGAATCAGAATGTTTTCTGTGACTGGTATGTTCCCTCCCATTTCTAACATGTAGTAAGACTGAGCATGTTCCGGGAAAGCCATGAAGGTTCCCACAATCCATGGCTTCTAGGCCTCCAGGCCTCTGAGTTTCTACCCCATTAAGCAATTGATTCACTGACAGTGCTGTCACCTTTCCTCTCCCTAACCTTCTAGGGAAACAGGGGGAGACTGGATTCAGTTATTCTTTTGCTGTGTACTGTCCCCTGGGAGCAAAGCCCAGGGTGAGAGCAGGTCAGTATGACAAGGCCAAAGCTACTGAGTCAAGAAAAAATTAGCGAAAGGCCTTCTATAAGTAAAGAGCAATTTTAATTTTTTTTCTTTTCCCCAAACTTATCATTCTCTCGCTTTTTAATTCAGTCCTTCTCAATAAGGTAGTGTTACTGTGTGCAGAGGTTAAATAAAGTGGGGCAGATTAAGAAGCTGAAGCAGGTCAAGCATGGTAGGTCTTGCCTGTAAGAACCTCTGTCATTTCTAAGAAAGAAAGAAAAAATGGAGGGGCTGGGAATGTGGTTTAGAGGTAGAGTGCTTGCCTAGCATGCATGAAGTCCTGGGTTTGATTCCTCAGTGCCACATAAACAGAAAAGGCCAGAAGTGACGCTGTGGCTCAAGTGGTAGAGGGCCAGCCTTGAGCTGGCTCAGAGACAAAGCCCAATCCCTGATTTCAAGCCCCAGAACCAGCAGAAAATTTTTTTAAAAAAGGGATTTGGTAACACTAAATCATTGTGGAAAGGAAACACAGAGGTAACTATTTCTATTATTTCAAGTCAATGGCATTTGGACCTCATTCATAGGTGTGGGGTATCTCTCCTGAGGATCCAACTTTCCCCAGAAGAAAGGTTTATGCAGCCTCCTATTAAGATGGACTTACCTGAAACACTGAACTCAAAGGTGCAATACAGGAATCATGTAGACTCCATCTTGTGGCCTGATCCAGCAGAATCTACTATCTAGAAAAATCTAAGATTGTGGATCAGCTATCCCATCCCATTGAGTTCTTCTGTGTGTGTTTTTCATTTGTTTATTTTCATACCAGTACTGGGGCTTGAACTCTAGACCTGGCTGCTGTCTCTTAGCTTTATCTGCTCAAGGGCCATCACCCTACCACTTGAGCCACAGCTCCCCTTCCAGCTTTTTGGTGGTTAGTTGGAGATGAGTGTCACAGACTTTCCTGCCTAGGATGGCTTCAAACTGGATTCTCAGATCTCAGCATCATGAGTATTTAGGATGACAGATATGAGCCATCAGGTGTCCAGTGCCTGCCTCCATCCCTTTGGTTTTACAAATGAAGAATAGAAATAAAGATTGATCCAATGAAAAGAGGCAAACATTATGTATTCATAGCTTGCTGGGGTTATCGGTCCCATCGCCTGCATTCTGGAGAAGACTTCAAGACAGGCAAAGGAGCAGTAGAAACTTTGGAAACTTTGCAGTAGAAACATGGAAGGTTTCAGATGTTCTATGACTGAGGTCTGCTGGCTGGCCAGGAAAGCCATAAGTAGGTTGACTAGCAGCAGAACATCAATGTGACTGATTAGGGATACATATTTGGCTTGCTCTGGTTGGTCCTATGTTTGGAAAGAAGGACGAAAATGAGGAATGTTGTCAGTTATGAATCAAGTTCTGGCCATTTGGGGCCAAGCTACAAGGGTTACTACTTCCTAGGTTCACTGAAGTAGAGTGTTGTCTAACTTCTCACAAGGCTGACATAAAGATGGCGGCAGGCTGGCTTATCAGACTGGATATTATAGAAACGAAGCTGGTTTCTTGGGCTAGTTGCTGTAGATTGTAGGTCAGAGTGGTTCTTAACCATCGTTTGGCCTGACCATTGTCAGTTGAGTCTCTCCGCAAATACTGAAGCAAAGAAAGGAAGTGGCTCTTCCAAGATCTAACAGCTAATTGCAACCAGAGCTGATAGGTCAGTCTGAGGGCAAGCATATTTAGCTTATCCTTTCCAAGGGAACACATATTCTGCTTGTTAAGGAAACATGGTTTAGATCCATAGGAAACTGAAATTCATTAACACAGATGGCATAGAGATAAATGGAACCAGGAAGTGAATCGTGAGCTCCCGAGTTTGGCAGGAAGACCCTGCACTTTTCCCTGACATTGCCTGAGACACCAAGGGTCAAGTAATTTCTGTCTTGGGCATCCAGTCAGCAAAGAATGATGGTAAAAGCATGGTTCTCTACCTGCCAACCTACAGATATATTTTCCCTCCACCATTGGTAGCTATGTCTTCAGTTCTCTCGTCTGTGAAGAAGTAGTCATAACTACTCTCTCGTCAGGCTATTATTAAAAAAACAGAAAAAGCAAGCAGACACTTGTGCTCATGTGGAACAATGCATTACATATACTAAGTGTCTACAAATTAGCTATGTCACATCAATCCCATGCAGTAATATAATCCCCAATTTATAGATTAAAAAAAAACAGGTTGGTGATGGTATTTGCCAGAATAGTAAAGGTCAAAGTCAAGATTTTCATTCATGGTGGGCACTGAAGGCTCACACCTAAAATCCTAGCTGCTCAGGAGGCTGAGATCTGAGGATCCTGGTTCAAAGCCAAGCATAGGCAGGAAAGGCCATGAGACTCTTGTCTCCAAGTAACCAACGGAGAGCCCGAAATGGAGGTCTAGCTCAAGTGGCAGAGTGTCAGTCCTGAGCTCAAAAGCTGAAAGAGGAAGCCCAGGCTTTGAGTTTCAGCCTCAGTACCCACACACATATAAAAAAGATTTTCATGTCTCTAGAGAACAAAGCTCATTATTTCTTTCTACTATGCTTCTGAGCACAAGACGCCATTACTGGGAAAGAGGAAAGCAGGGTGGGTGCATCATTAGGGTTGTGACATCGGTTGTGCCTGTATTCGGGTCTTAATTATGTTAGCTGTAAACTCTTGCACAAGTTATTTACCAGTTCTGGACCAGTCATCACTAAGAGTAATAAAACTACCTACCTCATAGGACCATGAGGATCAAATAACATAAAGCCTGTGAGATTCCCAGTGCAAAGCCTGACTCTAGGTATTTAAGAAGTGACAATGGTTATTTAATTTATAGTATTTCTCATTATCCTCAGGGGACAACACCCTAGGCTCCTAGTAGATGACTGAAAACGGAAGATATCTGGAGTTGTCCCTCACTTATCAATGGCAGTCAAGGGGCCCTGACCTTCCCAAGGATGTCCAAATTCACGGATGTTCAAATCCCTTACATAAAACAGTGGCCTATTTGAATATAACCCACACAGTGGGTTTCAATCACCAGTGTGCTTTCAGTCACCTCTAGATAGCTTATGATACAAAATGCAAGGAAAATACGACGTAAGCCCCTGTGATAGTGTATTGTTTAGGGAATGCTGACAAGATCAGCAACTGTACATGTTCAGTACAGATGCAAGTATTTTCAAATATTTTTGATCCATGTTTAAATCCACAAATACAGAACCTTCAGATACAGAGAGCTGCCTGTGTGCTGGTTTTCCCTACATACATTTCTATATACAAACGTACATACATACATACATTCATGCAAACAAACAACATGCATGAAGCTGAACTTATGTATTAGGCATAGTAAGAGATAAGCAACAATCAGCATTGACAAAAGAGAACAATTTTGGGCAATATACTGTAATAAAAGTGATTTAAAACTTAGAAATTCTTTATTTCTGGAATTTTCCACTTAATATTTTCAGACAGTGGCTGATCACTGTTAAGTGGACTTGTAGAAAGTGTGAGTAAGGGTAAGGGTAGAAACTCTTATAATCAGAAGGGACCACTGTATCTGTTCTTTAAGAGTCTGTCCCTTGAGAACCCCACATCTGTGAACTTTTCCCTCAACCTTCAGTCTTCTGTGACCTCTCTTATCTGTTACTCCCAAGATCAGAAGAAGAAAAAAAAAAGCAAGAAAGCTGAGTATTTCAGAGCAAGGAGAGAATCCAGAGGCCAGCTCAGAACTCTGTTCCTGGGCATCCAGTGATGCTGTCTACTGATGGCCTGGAAAGAAGGCTTTCACTTAATAGCTACACACAAAGACAAAGAGTGCACCCAACAGCAGCCTGAACTCTAGAACTGACAAACTGCAAAGTGGGAGGCCCATAAAAGAAAGCTCACACTTTCTCTCCCTGGGAAGGCCCTGGGCTGCAGTCTGCACAAATGTGTTCTTAACCCTTATCACAGAGCCTTGTGCCTGCTGAAGCTGCTGTTGTAATCTAGACCCCTGATGCAAGAGTATGGGAACCAGCGGAGAGAAATGGGTGCAGAGGAGACAGTGCTCAAGCCAGTGAGCTGAGAGCAGAGAGAGCCAAGACCTCTCAGTCCATCCCAGCCCTTAACTGGGAGGCAGTCATGGAATCTGGAATATGTATAAATTGAGAGAGAGAGCAGTGTGGGGGAAGGGGGGAGAAATGAATTTGCAGGAGAAAAAAAGAGCCAGGTTCTTGTGTGTATCTTCCTCCAACAAGGAACTCTGCATGAGCTACAAAGATTCAAGCTCACTCTAAACAGATATTGTACAAAGAAAATTTTATTTGTAAGAATGCATATTGACCAGACAAGATTCCAAAGCTAGAAGACACACAGGTAGAGGACTGGGGAATTGGGCTGAAGTGCTCAGTATCTATAAAACGGGCTTATAATTTCAACTCAGGACATCTTGTTCCAGAATCGGCAGTAAATAACCATTAGCTCATTTTTAAATATCTCTGAGCATTGGCAGTGAGTGACTATGTCCTTAATTTAATTTTTTTTAAATGACTAAACCCAGGAGTCATTCTTCCAAGATCTGGAGGACTTCTTTACTATATCAAATACATTTCCTGCAGTCAGGTCATAAATATATTCCATAAATTTTGTTTTTAAGACTCATATTGAAGTATAAAAATAAATAGAAGTTCAATAGCAAAAATAAATAAATCTTAATGAATAAATATATCCAACAGTAGAAAAGCTCTTCTTAAAGAAATCTTATAAAATGATGGTATGTGTTAAGATTTGAGACACTTATGGACAACTGCATTGAGAAAACAAGTAATAAATAAATAGTAAACACTGTAACCAGCACTACATCACATAGTAAAAGATGACAGTGTGGGGGTCATGTCTCCATGGTGCCCAGGATTCTTAGCCAGGAGGATTCTCAGGAGCATCATCATGTTCTTCCTACGCTGACTCCTCCATCCATCGAAGAAGGATGTCCAATTCTCCCAGAGCCTTCACTGTTGCCGCCTGAGGCTCGAGCTGAAAGAGATACCCATGCATGGTTAGCAGTTCAAGATGAGGAAGGAAGGAAGGAGAGAAGGAAGGAATGGGGAGAGGTGAAAGAAAAAGATGGAGGAAAAGGAGGAAGGAAGGGAGGAAAAAAGAAGGAGGAAGAAATGAAGAAGGAGGGGAAGAGGTGAGGGAGAGGAGGAGGGAGTAGGGGAGAGGAGGAGGGAGTAGGGGAAGGGAGGAAGAAGGATGGGAGGGGAGAAAAAAGGGAGAGGAAGAGGAGGGAGGAGGGGTGAGAGGAGGAGGAAGGAAAGGAGAGGAGAGGAGGAGGAAGGAGGGTAAAGAGGAGGGGAGAGGGGAGGAGTTGAGAGGAAGGAAGAGGAGGAGGGAGGAGGAGGAGGGAGGAAGAAGAAAAGAGGGAGAAGGAGGAAGAAGGGAGAGGAAGAGGAGGGAGGAAGAGGAGAGAGAAGGGGAGAGGAGGAGGAGGAGGAAGATGAGGAGGAGGAGGAGGAGAGAGAAGGGGGGAGGAGGAGAGAGAAGGGGGGAGGAGGAGGAGGGAGGAAGAAGAAAAGAGGGAGAAGGAGGAAGAAGGGAGGAGGAGGAGGAGGGGGAGGAGGGGGAGGAGAAGAAGGAGGAGGAGGAGGAAGAGGAGGAGGAGGAGGAATTAGTCACGGAGGCGTAGTCCAAAGGAGAGGTATCAAGGTGAAAAACAGCAAGGCATGAGTGTGAGTAATATTTTGAGTATGTGACTTTTAAAGGCATTCCTAAGTGTGTGTGTGTGTGTGTGTGTGTGTGTGTGTGTGTGTGTGTGTTAGAAAACTGTTATCTCCTGTTGGTGCATCTGGGGGATCCAGATATTTCTGGAGTGACTTGGTAGAGATCTGGCCATTCCCCTTCCATCCCCACCACCATCATGTAGAGAAATCTCATCTTGGGGGATGCTCCCTAGACTAAAGCAAAGGATGAGCCACATGACCTCAGAAAAGTGTTGGCCTGAGGGCTATAGGCTTTCAACGGGCTTAAGTATCCTTCCATTCATCAAAGTTCTTCATTCTTTTTTTTTATTGTGAAAATACTGTACAGAGGGGTTACAATTACATGGGCAAGATAATGAGTACATTTCTTATCAAGCATTGTAGCCTCCTCCTCCTTTGTTTCCCCTTTCCATCCCTTCCCATCCTCCCCCCACCCTCCTCCACCCAATCCTCCCCCCCCACTCCTACCCCCCCCACCAACGTTTTCGACATAATGACTTGTCATTCTAAAAGCACACCCATCCCCACCAATGCCAAAAATGACATACCTCTTCGAAGTGACTCAGAATCCGGTTGTATTTTGCGATTGCTTCCTCTTCACACTGGCATGTCATGTGGGCATGCTGAGAAAGGCATTAAGAATGACAGATTTTATTATCACTTCTGAGTCCCTGCCCTTGTGTTACCTGCAATCCTGTCAATATTCAGGCCTGTAGGAAAGCCCTTTTAGAACTCATCATCAGGGATTATTACACTAATCACCAGCTAGAACAGGAAGCCAGATTCTCAGCCTCAAATATGGAGCTCATTGCTTCCTTTTAGAAAGAGACAGAGCTGAGGAGAGCCTCATCTTGCCTCAGCTCTTGCCTGGGAGCTGTGTTCTTGCGCATACTGAGCCCTCATGGGAAGAGAAAGCAATTCCTAGGTCCTTTTCTGATCATGTTCTGAGATCAACTCTAATAGCTTAGTGACCAGATGTACAGAATGCACTGGGAGGCTATTGAATACCCTTATAAGAAATAAGTATAATTTCATAGCTAATAAGAGTTACCATGAGTATCACAAATATTTCTATTTCTTGAAAGCCTGCCAAGTACTTTTTGCATAGAGCAGCAACTCAAAGGTCATCAAAACTGAGTTTTTGCAAATAATTATATGGTTCAAAATAGGGAGAATAATTTTTAGATTTAGTTTCTCCATCTCTTAAAAGGAGGTTGGAAAAGGAGCTCAGTTGCTCAGTCACCAAAACTGTGATGAGTGGATGGGTCCTGTTACTCACACAAAGCTGGAGGTCCTTCTTGATGATAAGAAAGGAATTGGCAAGACTGCTGAGCTTCCGGAGGGTGGGGTGGTCAGTGGTCTGGTAGTTATTGAACACCCTGTTCAGATAGAAGCTCAGTAAATGGTGGAGGAGGCAGCACTTCTCTGAGGCCTGCAAAGAAGACAAAACTTGTTGGTGGGAAGGTCGCGAGGGCAGAGACCAAAACAGAGTGTAGAGAGGAACTCCGGCTTCATATGGTCATCTTAGAGCTCATATGAGCCATGCACATACCTTTGTGTCTTGCAAAGATTCAGTGCTCCTTAAGATTCTGATGTTAATGTTGTCATCTTTGGCTTGCTAAACATAAAGGAAGAAAAAGACAGATCAGTGGTTGCTGCCAGAATCAGAGATAGCACACACATCTTCTTCCTGATAGGGTCCAGTGGGATGTATCTTTTTCCAAAACTTCTTTTTTTGTCAGTCATGGGGCTTGAACTCTGGGCCTGAGTGCTGTCCCTCAGCTCTTCAGCTCAAGGCTAGCACACTACCACTTGAACCACAACTCCACTTTTGGTTTTCTGGTGGTTCATTGGAGATAAGAGGCTCATCAACTTTCCTGACCAGGCTGGCTTTGAACCGTGATCCTCAGATCTCAGCTTCCTGAATTGCTCAGGTCACAAGCGTGAGCTGCCAGCACCCTGCCCAAAACATTTTTTTAATGATCAAGTACAGATATATCTTGGGAAGGCATTATTCTGGGAAGGAGATCCAACCTTCCTCCTTTCTCGAGCACACTGCCAGGGCTGTCTGAGGGAAGAGAGACAAAGGAGGAAAGAAAACAGGCAGCCAGGAGCAATGGACACCTGCCTTCACGTACCACACTGTCCCGGATCTCAGAAAATCCATGCTGTATTTCCTGGAGGTTTATGGTGACCACACAGCTTCCCAAGTGGAGCGTCTTCAGCCCGTTGGAAGGTCTTCCAACAACAAGAAGCACAGCAGAGAGCAGACTGAAGAGAAGAACAGTACCTTTCATCTTACGCCTGGAATCTGGAGACCAGGAGCTGGGAGTTAAAAGAGAAAGATGGTGGACACTGCATTCCTCTTCAAATCCATTATCACCAGGTGTCCTGCCTCTGGTATCCACTGGAGGCAGGAAGGGGAAGCGCCTTTTCTGCTCCAGTACTGTGTAAGTCCCATTCACAGAACTTATTAAGAAAAGCTCCTGGGCCTCTCCCGCAGAAGAAGCTTCTAGGTGCAAGTTTGGGTTGGTACACAGGGCCTGGCTCCTTTGTTCTGTCCCTGTCTCCTCTCCCATCATTGCCTGGTAGGTAGGGCCTGAAGCAACAGCGCCTCCAGGGAGTCCACGTAGGATGCTATGTCAGAAGTGTCAAAACTTGGGAGTAACTGACATAGGTAGCCCTTCCCTTCCTGAATGTCACTGCAGTTCACCTCTCTAGCTCTCTGAGGCCCACAGTCCCACAGAAGCTCTGATTGTGCCACCCAAAACACTTGAGAGAAAATTGCCTGGGTTTTTATGGTCACCCCTAGGGCAAAGGAGTCTAGCTCTTTCTGGTGTTTGTTTGAGATCAGAGCAGTTGTTCGAGAAGAACATACTCACCTGAGACCTGAAGGCAAGTACAAAGTCAACGATTTCCTAACAATCCTACCGCCAGAGAAAGGCAAGATCTGATGGGCAACTGCAGGATTCTACCTTGCATTTTTTTTTTTTTCCTGAACAACCTGGGTTCCACCATGCCCTTCGCAGGAAGAGTAGTCAGGCACTCGAATAGCGAGTGCTTTACTGGCCCCGAAACTCAGGCCCCAGGGCCAAGTGATCCCAAAGAAAGGTTGCAAAACAGCTCATGACTTCTCTGGGTGGAGGTTGCTCAGTATGCAACCTCATTTCTCGTGTCTGTCAAGATTGAAGAAAAAATGAAATAGACTAGGGTTCAAGAAATGTGAGGGAAGTTTGCAATAGCAGTAGGGAGCAACATTTTAGGGGATACCCAAAACTTAACCCTCAAGGGACAAACTACTTTAATTCGATATTGAAATGAATGAAAAAAATCCATAGCAAACAAGATGTTAAAATCTTAAATAAAAATAGAATCCAACAATGCCAGGTAGAGCTATTGTGACAAAAGGAAAAAAAATATAGACTTCTACGCATGTGTTTTCATATGTTTTTAAATAGTTAACTGTTTTTCTCAAAAGGATATGGCAAAGCCAGTCTATTACGTAGCCTGTAATCCTAGCTACTTGGGAGGCTGAGCCTGGAAGGATCATGTTTAAAGACCAACTAGAGCAACATCAAGGACAAAAAGTTTGTAAAAACCATCTCAACCAATAGCCTGGCAGAGTGGTACATCCCAGGGATGCAAGAAACAAAAAAATAGGAGGATTGCAATCAAGGCTGCACAGAGCAAAAAGTTAGAACCTATCTCAAACTCAACCAGAGGGGTGGGGGTGGGGACAGACTGGAGAAATGACTCAAATAGGCTCACCTAGCACGCACATAGCCCTGACTTCAAACTCCAACACAAAAAAGATCTCATGAAAATACTGTGAGTTTTCTTTCCTTAAAATACTAATAAAAATAAAACTATAATTAACTTTGTTGGGGGTATAAATCAAATATTTAAAATTAAAGTAATGTTGGAAGATGTAATGAATATATATATATATATATATATATATATATATATAATTTGGGCATACATATGTGTGTATGTCTATACATCTTGATTCAGACTTGGCATAGCAGTTGTAATCATTACTATGTACTGGAAATGTGCCAGACATTTTTTTTTCAATTCATGTACATCTCAGATCCTACCAGATGTAAGAAATGGAATAAACAAGACAAATCCAAAAGTATCAGAGTTGACAGTGGATTTAGGAGATGAGGCCCCTGGATAAGAAATCCTTGTTCTGTATGTTTATTTTATCTGTTGTTCCAGTTTGTCCAGGGCTGAAGGGATGTCCACCACCCAGTAACTTAAAGAACTGGATAGCAGATGCAGGCAAACCCAAATTAATTCACCACTCTCTATCTGTGTCCATTTGGATAAGTCAACTCACCTCTCTATAATTTCATTTTCTTAGCCTAAAAATGGCATTATTCCATTTGACCCCCGAGACTTACCTTGAATTCTCATAAAACACAGTTTATACACCTAGCATACAGAGAAAGATTGATTCATTTCTTCCCAACACTCTTTATCTTTTGAGCTAGTCTCATTATAGCCCAGGCTGGTCTCAAACGTGCAATCCTCCTGCCTCAGCCTCCAAAGGAGAACCGGCATGGCACTGGTGATCAGTTTACTATAGATTAGTGTTAGTTGCCTTCTTACTTACAGTCAATAAATTCAACAAGTGGATCTGCATTTACTGAGCATTCATTGTCTTAAAAATTATGGTAGATCCTGAGGTACAAATAGAGACATAGCAATTCCTTGTTCTGTAAGCGATTACATCCTCATGGCTTTGGACATGGCTCTGGGTATTTGATGAAGGAGATCTCAGCTGATTTCGAATGATAGGGGAAGCCCTCTTTCTTACCTGAGCTCAGGAAGGTCTCTGGCCTCTGATCTCCCAGTAATCTGTCTCAAGTGAAGAGGCTTCTGTCTTGTATATGTAAGGCACGTGAAGGAAGTGCGCTAGCCCAGGTGAAGGCTGGAACTCCCTCGGAATTTCTCTGGTAGCCCAGCACTTCCTCCAGGGCTAAGGCACTTGACTGTGCTTTATATGGCTCTGATACTTCCCTGCTCCAAGAAATACTGCCCAACGGGTTTGATAACTGGTTATAGTAGTAGGTAAAGGATGTAATTCTCTTAGGCTCCGCCTTTCTACTGAGTAAATGGCTGTTAGGGCCAAAGAGATCCCAGTTATGCAAATGAAAGAGAATGCCCTTTCTCTATCCTCTAAATTCAGTATTTGCCAAATACCTTCCGACACTGTGGACTCATTCCTGCTGTTGCTTTTGCTCCTCCCACTACTGCTCTCCAGCAAGGCAAACAGGGGTGTTCCCTCTATTCATCATTAAAGATGAATATACTTCTCCTGAGTGATCCTGGCCTATTTTCTTTTAAATGGCAGTACTTGAGTTTGAACTCAGGGCTACCTTCTTGCTAGGCAAGAACACGTTGCCACTAAAGCATGTCTCCAACCCAATGAATGAGCACTCATAAGTGTGATCAATGTAAAATGGGCAATGTAGTCTGACATGAAGATTTTTAGTAAATCTAGGTTAGTTTTATTTATGTGCAATCATGACTTACAAAATCATATGTCCAAAACAGACATAGAGAGAGAGAGAAAAAGAATGTCTTCCCAGGGATTAAATGTAGGACCTCACACTTTCCAGGCAGGTACGCTGCTACTTGCATCATACTTCCAGCCTCTATTATGATGTTAATTATTTTGAAGGTAAAAAATTCACTTTATGCCTAGGCTGCCCTGGTCTGTGATCCTCCTACGTGCACTTCCTCATGCCACTGGGGATGACTGGTACCCACCACCACTCCCAAATGTTGACTGAGATGGAGGCCTGTGTTGGCCTCAATCCTTAACTGCTCTATGTCTACCTCCCAAGTAGTCTAGGATTAAAGGCTTTAGCTATCCTACTCAAAGCACTGTATTAAGTCCATTGACTAGATTCTACTTCACAGATCACATAAACACTATACTCATCTGTCCTGTTGAACATTCCCTGACATACCTTCTCTCCCCTCCCCTCCTATTTCTCAAGGTATAGTTGATCCTTCCCACATTTCCACCTTTGCTTCTACAGGTGTGGGTATGTATGTATATATACATATATGTATGTGTATGTGTATACACATATATATGTACATATGTATATACATATGCATTTTATACTCAGCCCAGGCAGAAAAATCACAACTTTTTGGTTACATATATGTATCTCCTTCTAGCCTGAGAGCTCTTTTTACATCTTGCTCTGCTAATATGTGATGATCACTGGATGAACACATAGATTTACAATTGTTTCTTCTTTATGTTGTGTCCTAAAGCCTGAGCTTCATGATTTAACTTATGAGAGGACCAGGAGCTCTTGGCCACAGTGACATGTCCATGAAGCTGGAATTGTATTCCCATAGCAGGAGTGCTTCCAAATCAATAGAGTTGGAAATGACTGGTCCCAATTTCCCCTTTTCATAAATGGGGAAGCTATAGTTCAAGAAGGTGAAGTAACTTGCTCTAAGGTCACTAGGCTGGTAAAAAGTAAACTCAGAAGTTGAACCCAATGTGTGTTCATTCCACCCCAGGTGTGTTCACGCAACCCGTTGTGAATTATTCCTACATAGTAAATAGCTTTCTTCATTAATGAGACTGGGAGAGAAGCTATTTCTACCTCACAATTCTAGTCAAAGGAAAGAGACTGTGTTAGACAGTGCATGGTTTTAGCAGTCTAGATCACAAGGATTGAGAGCTAGGAGACCCACTTCTAACACTCACTTTCCCATCAACTCTCAAGTGACTGCAACTGATCCAAACTAGATCTTAAACCTTTTGGGTATTGAGTATTCATCAACAAAATGTGATGACTCCTACCTAGTCAGGCTGGCTCATTGATTTGGCAACAGCAATGTTTATATAAACCTCTAGGCACAAAAGATGATTTTTATCACCCCTATGTTTGATGAGATAGATTGTAAATGGCATTGACATCAATGAGCACTTGCTAAACACCTACTAGGTTCAGAAAACTAGGCTAATGTTGTTGGGATTACAACCCCTAATTCCTGATGGCTTTGTTGAAGGGATTAGGGTTGGGCTTAAAGATCCACCAAGACTGTTAGTACTGCTGAGTACATAGGAGGAAAATGCCAAGATGCCCAGAAGGAACACCTATGGTACAGAAGAGATTCTGGGCTGAGCTTTGAAGCATGGGCACAATTGAAGTGGACGAAGATGCTGGAGAGTGCGGTTGGACAAAGGGCATTTGGGGTGGAAATGAGCTAAGGAGTCCCATGTTCTTGAGGACTGGAAGATGGATGTATTTGACTG